CTGGCTCACCTCTCTCTCGCAATTTTTCACGGCCACTTCAGAGTGCGCTCTGTTTCGGGAAAACGAGCGCGTCTGCGGTGGTCCGCCGCGTGAGCTCGAGGACTTGGTTTTTCTTTCTCTTTACGTTACAAATGGAATATCTTCTTTTTTGCCACATTTTCTAAGCGCACAATTGCCGCAATGCCTCGTGAATCACCACGCACAAACAGCTGGCACACGTACATTATACTCTTTCCCTTTCATACCGATTTACACCGTTGTAATGGCTTTCTTGACCACGAGGACGTAAATTTGTTTTTCCAATTTTTCCCGTGACACGCAACGCGCCCTCACAAACAATGGTAGACGCACGCTGCGCCGAACACACCGCAAGATCAAATATTTGTCCCTCCCAGGAAGGTATACGGCACGCGATTTTGGACAGTCCAGATGGCACAGCAAATAGTATGGGTATATTATATTCGTGCCGCGTTAGTTGTCTCTCCGGATTTTCGGATCTTCGACGTAGGTATCTCGCGTTATCTCTCGAGCTGCAGCTTTATCTGAAAAGATTATCCGTCGACACGATTGTCCCCGATGATCTTGGGCCGCCAGAAAACTCACGTGCCCGTGAAACAGAGGAGGACCCATCATTATTACGAGGAATTAGATAACGAATGACGCGACGTTACAGTATACATATATACATGTAATGCAACAATGCATGATTTTTGTGTACACTGTCACGTCACCGGTAGAGCCCCGGAGCGACGAAGATAATACTCTCGTGCACAACAAGCGCGACTGAGTCATTGCACGATGCCGAACAATGGAGCAACTACTTCTAGTGATTGCTCGTATAGCTACCGCTAGTTGGGTGGAATTAGTAATCGGAAAATAAGTAGGAAAAGTGTAAAAACAAGTGAGTATGTCCGTTTCTCTTGAAAAACATGTTTGTCGTTTGTCGATGACTACTATATCATAGGTATAACCTTAAGAGCGCAATAAACGCACAGCAACGTGCATAATATATAGGTAAAAAACATCGATGACTCAATATTAGAGAGGGCTATATCTTTCCTACTATTTACATCGTCAGCAGCACCGTAGATCTCAGAAACAAGAGCGTGATTTTCAGATTGTAGCCCAAAACCGATTTTCGGAGAATGATGCTTTCTTTCTCTTCCGAGGTGTCGATCAAAACCCTCGAGCAGAGAGTCAAGAAAACACGGCATTGTCGGGCACCCGCCAAGAAAGACAGGAAGCAGTTGTACGTGTATATATAGGTACAGGGGAGGGAAAAATCATTTCTTCGATACAGTATCGATCGAAAGAGCCCGTAGCCGAGCAGCAGTCGGCATCTCTGGCTGTATAACAAACGCGCGCTCTCCTCTCCCCTCGAAAAGCACAAACAGCAGCAGCCTGCTTCCTCGCACATGTCCGACCCGACCGTGCAGGACTTGTTGAAGAGAGCTGCTCTCCCTTTAAAGGGAAAAAAAAAAAAAAAAGTGGGTCCACAGAAGGAGAGGTAGTCTCGGTGGGGCCTGACTGTATACACGCATATGGCGCGTACATGTGCCCCAACATCACATGTGTATCCATAGGCGGTAAGTGCCAGGTGTTTCAAAGGTGAGCCCCCGATATACACGCGTACGCGCACATTATATTATACGTGTGTATATATATATATATAAATGCTCGGCCTCCCCTTCTTTTTACGCGCGGCAGAGGGCAAAAAAATAAAACCAGCTTCCTTCCGACCCCGAAAGGGGATGAGGCGGCTCGACTTTCCTAATAATTATATACACAGATTTATTCGGCGATCAGAGCTCTCGCACCCGTTCCTCCGGAGGACGACGAATTATCTTTTGCCTGTTGTTTCGGCTCCGATCAATCGGACCGTGAGTCGATAATTGACTCTAATGTGCGGATACAAGTTATAAATGCGCTGGCTCGGGCGATCGCGTAAAATAATACATATATATATATATTTATACGCTTCTCGAATGATACCTAGAGCTATTGGTTGCACGCAGGGGTTTCTTTGTTGTATTTCATCCGTACTTGTATAGAAAATTTATACGATTGTATGTGTGTGAGAAATGCAAATTAGCCGAATTCGTGTACAGGTACGTGTAGTATAAGTGAGGAAAAAAATAAATACATAGGTGGAGGTGCATGAATATGAATACTTTCAAAGCACGGTGATTATAATATGGTAACGTGGAATAAAATGAGGCTTGAATTTTTATTGGTCTCGGGTGAAGGAGCCGTGACGGGGCAAAGTTAATATGCTTAATCGGGTCAAGTATAACAATGCAGGTAGGCATACGCTGCAACGTATATTGAAGTGTTTTTAAAATAACACCTTTGAATTAGTTGAGGTTTGTTGTTTTTGTAAAGTCCATTGCATGTAGGCGCAATGATGATTGTCAATTGTTAGTATAATAACTTGATGTACTGCATGATTCGTTGACGGTACCTTTTTTTATTCATGATAATGATTAAGATTACCAGATTACATGCGTATAGCACGAGCCAGCCAGCCACTTGCGTGCTAGAAAACACACACAGATATACACACGGCCAGTCGGATAAGACCGTGCCCGATAAACCGAACAATTGGAAAGTTGCGGCGCGTTGCAGCAGCCTCCACGTAGGTATATAAATTATATATGCACAGATTGCGGTGCGGGCGCTCTCGCGCAAATCGGGGCATAATCGATCGGCTCAAGCCCGCCTCCGCGCTCTCATTACGCAACCCGGCAAATGGCTGCTGTTGGCCTACTATATGGTACCGAGGCAAGGTTATTCCCTCGAAAATGCGTGTATATTTTATTGTTGTGTCTAGGCTAATACGTACATGGTAAAAGCAACCGAGGCGCCGGCGAGTCGCGTGGCTTGCCCTTTGCGTCACGAGCCGCACACATCGATGCCTCGTGGTATCATGATATTATATACATATGAGCGTTTTGTCGTGCATTGTGCGTATATCTTTTGCGATTTTTTGAAAAAAAAAATAATAACCGTATACATCGTTGGCACAGCCCGTTAAATCGAGAAAGAGAACTTTTAGGTGCTTAAACTTACTCGAGTATATTTCAAATACTCACCAAGCCAAGTTCGTTGCGCCGATAAGGGAATTCTTTGAACGAAGCAACAAATAAAAATACAATTACAGTATTATCCATTTGGTTATTATCTCTCAAAGGAACGGCACGCTTGGGCTTCCCCTGATTTCGCTCGTAATTGGTTGAAATCATCAAAGCACCGCAACGAGGAGTTTGGCCATTCGAGAAGTAAAAACTTGAAACGGTAACGAGCGCGAACTTCCCCCGCGAGCCCATCGGGTACTTTCAATGGGCCGAGAGTCCATTAACTGTACAGGACTCGAATGGAGATAAAAAAAAAAAAAGGGCCGTATACGCACTTTGCGTTGCGGACGAGCTCGTGCGACGTACGGCCATTGTACTCTGCACGTATACAATAAAATCTTCTTTGAGCAACCCTCGACTTTTTATCGGACGACTCGGTGAACCCTTAGTTACACTTATTCCATGTAAGTACCGAAAAGTTGAAGAGGCGACGAGGTTAAAGGCCTCGCTTGATGCAGCACGGGGCAGATGCTACCGTCTCGCCTCTCGTTTCCTAGAAAAAAGGGGGGGGGGGGGGGGGGGGGGATGTAACACACCGAGAGGAAGAAAAAGAAGAAAAAAAGAGTCTTGTCCGTATAGCAGGACAGGGCCGAGTTGTCGGGGGTTGGGGAAACAAAGTAGAGAGAGAGAGAGAAAGGGGAGGGTCCTCCGGCACGCGCCAAAATCATTACCCCATCGGAATGACGAGAGCTACATAGGCCTGTATGCACCGGCACGGCGATGACGATGGTTCTATATACTTTATACCTTCACGGACTCATGCCCCGATCGCGTCTATACGTATATAGCGCAAAAATTGGCCGCATTGTGTCCTCGGTCATGTACATATAAATGACACAGCAGCGAGCGGATAAATATCGACCAAGCGAGGGAGGAAGATGTAATGCCTCTACGAGTACCGTATATATACTTGTGAGTAAGTGAAAGAGCATCGAAGATCAGGGAAGCTGTGCGTGTGCGCATATGCTCCATCCCCGTGCTTTTCTCTTCCTCCCTTTTGCGCGCGCGCGTATAGGTGTAACCGATGGACGGATGGGGTGAGCAATGTGAGCATTCGTTGCACGCGTGTATACACGTATACAAAAGAGCAAGCGTGTGCGTGTGTGCGTTAGCGCGCGCACATGTGGGTTCTCGAGAGAGCACGCGTGGGCGATGCTGCGGCACGCGACACGACCGTTACGTTCCGAGCCACCGGAAAGAGGGGGACCATACATACATATATTTATACCCTATATACCATAGTACCTTCACTTATGGGTGCAGGGGGGTAGAGTGTGTATCCCCCCCTCCCTCGCGCTTTCTCTCTGCTCTGGGCCCGTACGTGTGTGTGTTTGTATCACGAATGAGGAGGAGGAGGGGAACTTTTTTTTTTTTTTTTTTCGATGCCTCCGCTCATTCTCATCTTGTGTGTGTGTCTGCATCTGTAGGTATACGTCTTCTTGCTTTAATGCGCACAAAAAGGAGATGCGGTGCACAGCTTGCTCCTCTTTTTTTTTTTTTTCTTTTTCTTTTTTTTTTGCACGGTCTTCTTNTTTTTTTTTTTTTTTTTTTTTTTTTTTTTTTTTTTTTTTTTTTTTTTTACATGTACGCAGCAAGTTTTTGATTTTAATGCGTGTGGTGGAACGCTTTGGAAAATATGTTTTTCTTGGCTCGAGACTGGCTCTTTCTTCCTTTTGTCCTCGTCTCGAAGATATTGTTGTTAATTATACATCCAAGCCCGTGCAGATGCAGAGTGTGCGGTCCATAAACAGGTACTTTATACTCTTTTGCTTCGTTTCAGCTTTACGTGTAACTACCCCAAATTTACGACATGAGGTTGTTGCAATTGTTGAAAAAAAAATAATAATAACAAAAAACCCTTAACAGTTGCGATTTGGGCATCAACTACGTGAATGTTGATGTTAGATTGGGTATTTTTGTTGGAAAGTGTGAATGATTCATTAATTTTAATAATTGTTTTTATTTTGAACCGTGTAATGGAAACGTGCGTTGATTTGCTTGGTCACGTTGAATACGAACATACATGTACATTAACCATGAAAAGCCGAAATTAACTGGTTTGATCTGATGCGTTTTGAAAATGTTATAACCTAAATGACCATTCACCTTCTTTCTCGAAAGCCATATACTTATTAGAGACGTCAACTTTGTTTTCAAACTCTCACCTTAGTCATGGCGGTGAGGAAAAGTGTAAGCAACTCTAATTAAATATATTATTCAGGTGTTTACTCGTGTACACGTTTTGAGACCATTGACCGATGTTAATTTTTTTTTTCTTACGAATTTAAATAAGTACTTGAAAGCTTTTGGAAGCCGGGAAATCAATTCTAAAAGTAAACGTATGTGATGGGCGAATTTTGGAAATGCGTGGATATAGACACCATATAAGTAAGGGCGGAGTGGAGTAAAGTCATACGAGTTGCACATCCCATATATACATATATTATACCATCAGCATCCAAGGATATACAGGATACAACACACGCGCAAGTTGTAAAGGGAGCGCGGAGAGGCGAAAAGTGGGGGGACAGCAGATGAGCACGGAGCAGAGCTGCATGGGGATTGGCCAGGGCGAGCCTAGGCACCGCCCCGCTCCGCAGAGTGCATTGGGCGCCGCTCGCGTGCGCCACCTGTGCTCCATTGGCGGGAGTGAAGGTATAAGAGGACCCGGAGACACCCACTGGCGCGTATACACCGGCAAGCAGCCGCGCCGAGCAGATCCTTCCTCTGCCGTGCCTTCACTTACATATATATTAGTTCAGTGCCTTAGCGCAGTTCAGTCAGTAGCGCATCCTGCGCCGAGTCGACAACACCGCGCACGTTGTGTTTGTACCTTGGATCATTTGTGTGCTTGCGAGACAACTGTACCCAACAACCATTGACATCAGTCCAATGTGTCAAAGACTAGGACCGAGAACAACATTATTTTTTATACTACATTAACAACAAAAGTGCAGTTGACTAAAGTGCTATAACAAAGTTCCAGTGAGACAAAGTAGCAAACTAACGAAACTGTGTTGTGGTGGTATTGAAAGGGACATTGAATGTCCCACGCTGCAGTGAAGTTTTAGATACAAAACTTTGTTTGTATACCATCTTGAAAAATGCTCGTCGACGAGATGACCAGCAGCAGCTTCGTCAAGAAGAACAACAGCTACAGCCACTGTCCGCTGAAAAAGCGGCCGGTGACAGTAGTCATGCCCCCCACGGAGGAGTGGCAGCCGGCCAAAGCCGAGATCAAAGGTAAGCATCGAGCACCGATTGTGCCATTCAACTCATCCCTTGGTCCATCAGCTGTCCTTCCTGTCACATAATGATAACCCATACCCCGTGACAAACAAAAAAATCGGCAAAAATTAAAAGTACCGTGTTTCTTCTTGTGTTTTGCAGAAGAAGCAGTCGACGGAGCGGACGAGGTCCAAGAGCCGGAGAACTTGAGCACAAAGCCCGAGGATCTGAGAAAAACGGCCCCAAAGAGGCATCGTTCGGTCTCGCCTCCACCGACGCGCCCGGAGCTCGTGCACTACCCGGCAGCTGCCGTCAAGCGTTCCCCGTCTCCGTGCGCGGTGCAACAACACTCCCAGAAGTCGATCGTCCCGGCCTCGCCGGTCTCGAGCTCCCCGCTCGTCCAGCACCATCACCAGTCCCCAACAATGCCATCGTACCAGCTCAACTACCCGCTCTACCCGACCAAAGCCAACACCCCACCGGCCGCGCCGATGCCCATACACCCGGCAGCCAAGAGGGTACGAGTCGAGGTGCTCAAGCACGACGCCAGCCCCGCGACCGTCAGTGTTCCGCTGCACCACCACCACAGCCACTTTATGGCCGGCAGCGGTAGTCCACCTACAACGGCCAACGAGCCCGCGTCTTACGGCCCGCTGGGCTACGGGCGCGCCGCCCTCCACCACCCGACGCCCCTCCTGCCTTACGCGCCCTACTGTTACCCCGAGGCCGTCTACTCCACCGGCTTCCACGTGGCCGCTTACGCGCACCACTCATCGCCGGAGCACCACCACCACCAACAGTCCGTGTCGCCGTCGCCTCCGCACCCGACCCTCACCAGCAACAGCTATGCCCCCTTGGGCAGCGCCGTGCAGCGACCCCGGCCCTACTGGGCCAGCCCCGAGCACTGCGGGCTGTCGCCCACGGGCTCGTTGCGCTCGCCACCCCTCGTCACCCCCGAGGATCTGTCCTCGCCCGGTAGCGACAGCGGACGCTCCTCCGCGGGCAGCACCACGGTCGGCAGTAGCTGCTCCTCCCACATCAAGATTAAGTCGCCCGTCTCCTCGACGTTTGGCTCATCATCCTCTTCCTCCTCCTCTACGTCGTCGTCTTCGTCGCTGTCGCTGACGTCACCGGGTTCGCCGCGCTACAAGTGCCCCGACTGCCAAAAGTCGTACTCGACGTACTCGGGCTTGTCGAAGCACCAGCAATTCCACTGCTCGGCGGCGGAGGGCCAGACCAAGAAGAGCTTCAGCTGCAAGAACTGCGAGAAGGTCTACCAGAGCTTGGGCGCCCTCAAGATGCACATAAGGACGCACACCCTGCCGTGCAAATGCGACATATGCGGCAAAGCGTTCTCGCGGCCGTGGCTGCTCCAGGGCCACATAAGGACCCACACGGGCGAGAAGCCCTTCGTCTGCCAGCACTGCAACAGGGCCTTCGCCGACAGGAGTAATTTACGGGCCCACCTGCAGACCCACAGCGACGTCAAAAAGTATTCGTGCGCGAGTTGCAGCAAGACCTTTAGTCGGATGTCCCTGTTGACGAAGCACCAGGAGGGTGGCTGCCCGGGGGTGCCCGTCTCGGGAGTCTCGGTTCCCGTGCCCGTCCCCTACGGATGTTGATCGCCACCAACCGACCATCCACGTGCCTTTTATCGCATAAGTATATATTTATATCACACAATATAAATATGTGTTGCCTGCCTGCGAGCCCGCGCGAGTTCGCGGGCCGACGCTCCTTATTAGTACAAACACGAAAAGACTACTTAACTACTCATCTGATATGCACTCTACGTTGTAACAAATGGACGAGGGCGAATAAACTCACGGACGGAGGAGGAGAAATTTCGACGTAAGCAGAAAATTATTATTTCATATATATCGCCGCGCGATCGAACCGCGGTCGTTATACCGTGAAACTGCTGTGCCATGTTCCATGTGTATACTTTTATAATTTTTTTCTCCCGCCGATCCGCCAATTCATCAATTGTATCGTGCAACATCTACTTACTACGATTTTTACTATTTTTTATCGTTTTTTTTTTTTTTCTTTTCATCTCATTGATTTTTTTTTTTTTTTTCTATCTTTCGCATATTTTTGTTTCTTTGCATATAACCGCTAGTAATTTATCATTTAGATGTTTCGTAAAGAGACGAAAAGAAAATTATTATTGTGCAGACTGTACGCGCGCCAAAGTGCCATTTCTGTGTTGCGTGCACGGCGATTCGTTTAACTATATGTATACTACGCGAGTTAAGATGAGTGTGTAATTTATGTAAAAATGATAGAGTTAAGAGATGATGAAAAAAAAAAAAAAAAAAAAATCTCTTGTACATAGCGTGTATTTATTCGTTACTATATCGTCATAATCGCGAGAAGTGTGAAAATTTCAGAATATTTTCCTTTTTTATTTTTATACTATCTTTCAGCTCCTTTTGAACATGTTGAACTAGTAGTA